ACCTTGATACCAAAGCTAGAAAAGGACACAACCAAAAAAGAAAGCTACAGACCAATATCCCTTATGAACATAGATAAAAAAATTTTCAACAAAATACTAGTGAACCAAATTCAACAACAGATCAAAATGATAATTCACCATGATCAAGTGGGTTCATCCCAGCGATGCAAGGATGGTTCAATATATGCAGATCAATAAATGTGATTCGTCACATAAACAAACAAAAACAACGACCATGTAATCATCTCAATAGACACAGAAAAAGCATTTGATAAAATCCAGCACCCTTTCATTGTAGAAATCCTCAACAAACTAGGCATGGAACATACCTCAAAATTATAAAAGCTGTATATGACATACCCACAGACAACACCATAGCGAATGGGGAAAAGTGAAAGCATTCTTCATAAGAACTGGAACAAGACAAGGGTGCTCACTGTCACCATTTCTATTCAACATAGTTTTGGAAGTCCTAGCCAGAGCAATCAGGCAAGAGAAAGAAATAAAGGGCATCCAAATCATGAAAGAGGAGGTCAAACTATCCCGCTTTGCTGGTGATACAATCCTGTATCTAGAAAACCCTAACAGCTCCACCAAAAGACTCCTAGAATTGATAAATAAATTCAGAAAAGTCTCAGGTTACAAAATCAATGTACACAAATCAGTAGCATTTCTTTATACTAATAACAGTCAATCCAAATCAAGAACTTGATACCATTCACAATAGCTACAAAGAAAATAAAATACCTAGGAATATACCTAACCAAGGAGGTGAAAGATCTCTGCAAGGAGAACTACAAAACACTGATGAAAGAAATTGCAGAGGGCATAAACAAATGGAAGAACATTCCTTGCTCACGGATTGGCAGAATCAACGTTGTTAAAATGTCCATACTGCCCAAAGTGATACAGATTCTACGCAATCTCCATCAAAATACCAACATCATATTTCACAGATCTAGAAAAAATAACCCTGAGTTTCATTTGGAACCAAAATAAAGCCTGAATACCCAAAGCAATCTTGGGGGGAAAAATCTGGAGGCATCACATCATGACTTCACTTCGTTATAAGGCTTTGGTAACCAAAATAGCATGGTACTGGTATAAAAGTAGAGATATAGACCAATGGAAAAGAATAGAGAACCCAGAAATAAAACCATATAGCTATGACCAATTGATCTTTGACAAAGCAGACAACAAT